ATTTTAGAACGAAAAATATTTCAATGAGGAGAAATAAATACTCGAAAATTTCAAGTTGTTGGCTAAATGGCATCGTCCTGATGACAACTTTTATTTTTAGTGTATAAGCAGACAAAAATTATCCTTTATAGATTCTAACTTTGCCGTCCGTCTTCTAGCTATAAAAAAAAGTGAAAACCCAGAATATTTTCTATCGATTTCTGAAAACAATATGTTCTGCATATCTGTCACTTTTAATGTAACCTTATATAGAAATAAAGGCATTTATTGTATTTTTAAGACATTTTTGGGGATAACAAGTATGTGTCAAAATAAACCGATTACTACCATTTTTCGGATGTTTAGTTATAATATTATAACTAAAATAAGAGCGAAATTTCGGAATAATATGTTAATCGGCCCCTTTAAAAGTATAAACTGAACCAAATCTCTGTGCGAATTTCGTCCGTCGGAGCGCCTAGTAAAAAAGAACAAAAAAGAAAATCACATTAATTGAATGACAAACAAAAAAATATAAAAATACAAAAGCGAAAAGATGAATCACCAAATTTTGCCATTCTAATTCTTGCTGGTAATTATATGCAAGAAAAACAAAGCTACTTTCCCACTGAGAGCTGATTTTGTGACCGGCGGCAGCGGCAAAATTAAAAATAACTCTATTCCTGCCGAATTTCGTCAGACGAACTTCATCGCCACTTTGGTTGTGGGCAAACTGATATACTGCAGTGTGTTTTAGTTTTGGCAGCAAACTTTCTTCCAACGAATTTCTCTGAGCGTTTTGATACTTTTTATACTTTTACACGGCCTTTTTAAGGCGTTTTTGAGGTTAGGTTGGTATGGATGATATGCTTAAAAATAAAACGATTACGCCCACTTTATGGGGGTTCACACATAACATTATTAAAAATATATGGACAAAATTTCGGAGCCATATATTCATTGGTGTGCTTTTTAGGACATTTTTGGGGTTAGGTTTTTATGGAGGGCATGCTTTAAAATAAATCGATTTAGCCCATTTATCGTGTTCATATACGACGTTGACACTAACATATGGACAAAATTTCGCACTCTTTATGGCATTTTTTAATCGCTTTTGAGGTTGGGTTTATAAGGGAGGTATGCTTTAAAATAAATCGATAACGCCAATTTTTCTTTTTTTTTTCTTGATTTATGATCATAAATGTTGCATGCAGAAAATTGAGGTTCTACGCAAATTTCAGCAAATTGTTTCCAAAAAAAAAAAATATGGGGTTGTACCACTGTGCTGCGAAGCAATTTTGGGCTCATTTGTTAAAGTCGCAACCAATGAGTTGTCAAACTTCAATATTCGAGTGTGGTAGTTAGGGTAATTGGCTCTAGTTTTCCAATACTTTTGGGCATTTTTTTTTTTTTTAATTTTGATTTTTCGAATACCGAGTTAACCGAGCTTTCAACTAATTTATTTACATATGCATCAGAATTCATATGAAAATTCTAAATACTATATTGAAAATGGAACTAGAAAAATTGTATTAATGTTATGTATATCTACTTACATAAATACATGCTGGTAAATTTTCCACTGTAGAAAATTTCTTCAAAAAGAAAAGGAAAACCGAACGAAAATCTTTACTGTGCTTAAATCAGTGAATCGACTACATGTCGTCTTAATTCTTAACTAATGAACTGATGTGAGTGGGCCTTTGAAGAGATGGTTAATGTCGCCGTTTAACCTACAACAATATTCATAATGAAGTTGTGTTAAAGTATAGCCATCCTCACGAAGCAACGCGAGCTCTTCCATGCTGGAATTCATAAGCTGAAACTTGACGAAGGTGTTAATTGATTCTCGATGATTAGCCTGTCTATAATATAGGAACTTAATATATATTCGGTCTAATTCAACAGACGGTGTATTCCCATTCCCAAGAAATTCGGTTCTACATGTTCGATTTTTTCCCGACAAAGGACTGTTGTTTTAGCTATCAAATCTTGTTAAAATTGGTAAACCCTATTAAGTACGAATTTTCCATACCTTTTTTTCTGTTTTCTGGTAACTCAAAATAACTCGAACGTATTTTGCTTTATCGATTTCTAAATTAAAGCTTTGCCTATTTTTAGCAGTCACTTTGCAATTTTGGTCATGCTTTCTGACTAAGTGTGACCGTTGAGAAAATATGTAAAATAAAACTAATTTGTGCAGTTTTTTTTTTCAATTTAAAAAATGGGTAACCGGTTTTTTTCGAATAACTCGAAACTCGGTTTTCGAAAAAAAGCGATGGTCACATGATCTTTCGCTGTGTTAAGTGTTATAGAGTCTAAGCGGGAATCGGGTTCAGCGAGTTAAAACCCGATATATATGAACTTTCAGCTTTATTCAATGAATGTTTTTCTACTTAACCATCAACCTCGAACCTGACGTCATGGAGGCAAACAGATCTCGGATTCGCATTTAGGGCATCGGATAACATGGGATATAGAGGTTTGGTTCAATATGCAGAAACTTATTTTGTTTTGTTAACCTGTGTTATTTATTATTAAACCAAGCATTTATGCAAAAACAAAAGTTTTGATAAGCGTTTTGTTGTCAAGCGGTTGAGGTGTTCGGTGGCTGTGCCACCAGGTTTTGGAAACGGGCGATAAGCAAGCACCGAGTTACCAACTAAATGGCAATATTCTAGTGGCGACTCGCTACCCGTTTCCATAAAATCATCTCCGCACATTATTTCATTTCGCGAAAACTTCATTTCTGAGGCGAATGGTAACGAATCTTTGAAATGAATTTTTTTAAATTCGGGTCGAGTAAAGTTAATGAAGCTAGCAAAAATGAATGTTAACCTTAATATATGTACTTAAAAAAAATTTTACGGCAATCAGTTCTTAAATTTGCTGATCCGTGTTATAATGTAATGTGGAACGATTTTCCGTCATCCCTTGTCAAATTTGGTTTGGAGACAAACTGGTTTCGGCGTTGTGCCATCTTCAGTGTCATTTTTCCCGTGTTATCTTTAAGGTGCTTACAAAGATTCTAGTTCTTCTTTCGTTAACGCAAGGTAAAGAGAAGCGCCCTGACTTAGTACCTTTTATAAGTTTTCAGGCGGAAGTATTAGGGCACAACATATCAGATACTAAATTACTTATCAGTCGCTTCAAATTATTCACATCAGTTCTTCACCTGTTAGGCAAGCGTAAATATTTCTCCAATTGAGTAAAAAAGCAAAAGCGAAAAAAAACCCAAAAAACCTAACAAAACAAAATCCCATTATTCGATTGTGCTTACATATTAAGATTCGCCAAAAGATTTCGCAGAAGCACCAGCCGCGAATATGGTAAACAGCAGCGAAAGAAATACAATAACTGTGCAGGTAAATAAATAACGGCCTGTTTAAAGCATTGCCACTAAGCAGAGCCTATGCGTTGAGGATGACACTACACCAACAGAAGTGGCTGCATGCGCGCGCAACCAACGACGCGCTGCAACGGCGGCGGCGGCACGAAATCCTCACACCCTCTCGACAGAAGCAACAATTCAATTGGCAATAAAAATCTACAATTTTTACCATCCTGTTTGGCAACTTGTTACGTCGCTGATTCGAATAGACAAACCAAACGATGCCGCCTCATTTACTGCCGGCTCACACAGTGCAGCTACAGCCGCTACGAAAACGCTGTCGTGGAATACCTTCACCCAAGCGCTTAAGCCTACATACATATGTATGTACATTTGTATGTGCTTGGTGGCACCCGCAACTGCCTTGATGGTTGGTTTCCTGGATTTACAGGTAGTGGCATCTTCTTTGCGATCGTAGTTGCAGGGCGGAAGGCGGGCCGAAAAGTGAATGGCGGCAGCGTTTTCTTAACCATCGTTTGCCACACGCAATTTTCTGTCTTGCGGCTTCGACTGCGGTACCAGTTTGTGTGCGGAAGGTGGTAGTAGTGGGGGAGATGCGGCTGTTGTTGGCAAAGCTGCAATGCGGATTTACGGCTTTCAAGTTGTCACACTTCGCATGCAAACGTGAAGATTCGCTGATTTGCCATATCGCTGAGCTGGCAGCAACAACAACGCCGCGCGCAGTAAACGCAAAGTAGGCAAGCAATGCCTGCTGGCCAATTGATGGTAGGCGGTCGAGGATAGTCGCGGTAGCTGAGGTGCGCTCAATGACCTGTTTAGCAGTTTATTTGTTAATGCGCGGACGCAAACGATTTGCCGCCACCTAATTGTAAGCCAAAGTGAGGCATGGCAGAGGAGAAAATACAAAATTTAAATAAAACAAATACATAAAAACACAACAGCAAATACCGAAGCACTAACTAACCAACTCGCCAAACATACTTTATGTCTAAATTAGAGTTAAATGCTATTCTTGCTTATCTTCATTTTTATAGCAGACAGCAATTACCTAGTGAATGGCGAAAAACTATCGTATACACGCCTGCCTGTAAGCGTCAAAACTCGACTTATGGCCAACAGGGCTACCTCTTCTTTTGCTGCTTAACGTGGAGCGACTAAATGTGTGACCGCAAGACATGACACATGCCACACCATACCACAATGGGCAACGTGCCACGGCGCAACGCCACAGTTACCACAGCTAAAAATGTCGCGAGAAAAAATCTCATTTGGTTTAAAGGTGTCATTATTTTTAGTTGTGTGGTAATTTTTAAGTAGAGTTACTGAAGTTTTTTCCACATCAAAAACTCGTATAAAATTGTTTACTTCCTATCTTGAGACAGCACTTATTGCAGATAAATAAAAAAAAAGGTAAAACAAATTTTGGTGTTCGCTTCACGAAAGAAACATCCAAATCTTGGACTGCACTAAGAAAAGTGTTTATGTATGTGTTAGTAGTTGTACAAAATTTTACTATGTATTAGATACGATTTAAAGGCCTACATATAAATCTGTTTGGAAACTTTGATTCTCTGCCACTGCCAAAGATTCCAAATACAGAAAAACGATTTCTGGATGCGTTAAGTGTTAAGTGGCTCTAAGGTGACCTCAAGTGCTCTCAGTGCAAGAGGCGCTGGCCTACTGTCAGAGCGTATATCGATGGCTGAGTGGAAGATCGACCTATCTCGGCAGCCGGTTCAAAAACGCCCTATCTCAGCTGACGATTCAAAAACGCCCTATATCAGCATATTTTCAATACATTTTGAAGTGAAATAGGGCGTTTTTGAGATAGGGTGTATTTCAATTAAATTCTGAAATAGGGCGTTCTTGATAAGTCTTTTGAGATAGAGCGTTTTCGAACTGGCTGCCGAGATAGGTCGATCTTCCACTCAGCCATCGATATATATATAGATGTGTTTGCTGATTGCCCCTCTTTCTGGATACTGCCTTTGACACAGTTCAAGGGCGTGCACTTTTCGAATGTAAGGCTAAGAGATCTGCTGGGTTCCTGATAGTGCATGAGTGTACTAACTTCTTAACCTCTGCATTCCTTCCTAAAATGAGTCTTGCACCAAACAGCGGAGCTTCTTTCTTCCCTACGGATTTTGTGCTGATTTCACTAATAATGCCCACGCAGTCAAATCATTAGAGTTTGCTGAACTTGGCCTACGTGGACTAATGTATATTTCTGTTATCTTCCACTAAGATGAGTCACAAAAGCGGCGGAGAGATCACTTCGGTGCGGGTAATTTAACTCTTTCTTGCTTTGGTATATATGTTATAGTTTTAAATTTGAAGATGCTTGCACTCCTGCGGTGAGGAATTATGGCCGCTTTTCATACAACGGTAAATTTCAGAAATGCTTGAAACTAAGCTGACCAAACGTCCTCCTTTGAGGACCCTCCTCCTCCTTTGTCCTCCTCAAAAATTTTGTCCCTCTCTGTCCTTCTTTTGAGTAAAAATATCCTCCTTGTCCTCATTTTCAAGTTGTATAGCAATGATGAAATTTTCAAAAAATTTCGTTCAGGACATTATTATTTCCTAATCGTACACAAGTTGAACAGTTTAAACACTTTTTAGCTAATGACGCGTCTCCACAGGCGAAAATTATTGTCTACCATGTGCCAGATATGTATAAGTTTTATCTGTGGCAATATTTGCGTATGGGGATTTTTTATTTTGATGTTCATTGCACTGAAGCGAGAATCTGCTTAAAATATTTTAGAAAACATTTTATTTCACATCCAAGTACATAATCAAAAATAACACAGGCTTGTGTGGTTTTCCCCTTAGAAATCTATTTCAATTTCAACGAAAAAGCTAGTACTTTAAGCAAAAAGCACCGATTTCAATCCTGAAATATCCCTTCACCGATCAAAACAGATGACACATGAAATGAAAAAATGTGCTATCTATCACTGTTAATTAAATTTTCATTAAATTTACAAATTGTAGAGATATTTACAAAGATTTAAAAAATTTATCACAAATACAGTTCTTGATTACATATTCCTTCTCACGCGCAGTATTATTATATTATTTACTAGTAAACCTGCATGGCGTTAAAACACCAAAATTTAATTAAATACTTTAAATAGATCGCAACGCGCTCCAAAATCTTAAAGATGTTCCGAATGTTAGTCACAGCGATCCTTGTGAAAAATTTCCTCCACATTCGTCCAGCCCTTTATGAGTGGAAAGAAGTTTCACGTGGTTCAGTTCCTATAATTTTAAATCACCCTGCTCTGATGAGAAGTTATAACTTAAGCTCTTTAATCTGACATTTCGTTTTTGAAATTAGAAAGGACGGTGCAGATTTGATAACCTTCATGAAAAATGCCTGCGCGTGTTATACGTACATACGTATATATATACATAGTAAGATAGATATGACTTTCCGAATAGCTGGCAACCCATATTTTGAAACAAAAGCTTTCATAAAACTTCCTTGTTTGACAGTCATATTAAAGTGTATAATATATATATACATATCTTGTGTAAAAGTAAAAGTAAATTCAAACTTTCAAACAGAGTGTTTTTAAAAAAGTATTTTTAAACCAAAATCTTCTTGGATCTCCTTCACCTAACATTTGGATACATATTTAACTTAACTGACGAATTAAGTTGAATTTGATTTTTCAAATATGTAGCAACCCTCCTAAATATAGTTGTGAAATAAGGCCTTTCCAATGCCGTTTAGATTAAAACGCACTTTTAATAATTCCTTTAATTTATTAAATAATGTGAATTTAACTCTTTAATCAGGTGGCAACTCTCTTCAAAATACTTTGAAAATATTCTAAATGTTCAAGTAAAGGTTTCTCACCACTCTTTCGTTGGGCACTAACATTTTAGTATAGCTTGCCCATAATTTAATCAAATTTGACTTTTGAAACTGGTGGCAACCTTCTGCAAAATTCCAATTATTATCCAAAATATTAGTTGTAGCACAAATAGCGGGTAAAATTTCACTTGAACATACTTCAGGTCTTGAAATATTTTAGTTCATGTGTCTCGTTAATACGGGCCATACCACCATAAATACTGGTTTACCAAATATCTCGACCGCTGCAGCACCTAATTTTTTTATGGAGTTATTCCCTTTCATGGAATTAATATACATACGTTCTAAATATGAACCAAGTCGGATTCCAAATATGGGTTTTCCGGATATCTCGACTTCTGCGGCACCTATCGGATTAATTCGTCTTTCTTTTTGCACTATCATCGGGTTCTGAGCCAACTGTGAAGTTTCAGGTCTCTAGGTCATTTCAAAATTTGGCCCAAAAAAACTTATATACATACAGAGAGTGGAAGAAAACATTGAATTTTTTCTCAAATTTCTATAAACGTACAAGTACCTAAAGGAACACAAGCTGGCTGCAGGATATTCCATCAAAACTTGTTAACAATGCACACGCACACATATGTAGGTATATACCAAAAACAGTTCCACTCAAAATACTCAAGCGAGAAGTGCAGTGTTTGTGATACTCATCAAAAAGTTTGCACAACAGTTTCGAACGCACTTGTCTGCATTCATTCCCAGCCCCCCGCCCCCCTACGTTAAGAAAAAATTATTTTTTGGAAATTCAGTTCCGAAACTCAACGCAGTTTTCTGCATGTTAGCATTAAGCCACAATCGCGAAATCTATGCAAAACTTCCTACATTTTCCATGGTTGATATTGTATGTATGTCAAGTAAAAATTGTGTGCCCCCACTTCGGGCGCAATTTTTTGTGTCAGTAATTCTGTTAACTATTTCGCACTGTTATTGACGCGATGAGGAGCTCTTGTCGCTGTCGCAGCTGTTGTGGAAGTTTTCATTGTCTGTTTGCGGATTGTGTCAAAAATGTTGGCCTGAATGACTGAATGCTTAGTTTTCTTTTTTATTTGCCTGTCTGTATGCTTTGCGAATTTTTTGTATGTATTTCGAGTTGATTTGTTTGCAAGTCAGGCTGTTTGTGATGAACGAAGTGGCAGCAACGCAGACATTAAAATTTCGGAAATTGTTTAGGTGCAATAATTTTGCGAAAAACTAATATCAGAAATCTATTCGAAATCTGAAAAGAATTTTATATACATCTATACATAATATAAAGGAAAGTCGAGATTCGTTGTACGCGGTAATCTCGAAAACTACTGAAAGGATATTAACGAGATTTTCTCCAGTATACTTTGTATCGAAAGGAGAGTTTAACTTAGTATTTTAATTGGGTTGCCACCTGTCAAAAAAAACTATAAGAGCACGAATGCTTATTTTTTTGAATAGGGTTGCCACCTGTTAATAATACTACTATATTCATTCATAATAAGCGTAGGCATCAGTTCTGCACCGTCACTGTCAGACGAAAAGGCCTAGCCTCTAGATGTGCAATAGTGCATTATTTTTCTGAGTAGGGTTGCCACCTATTAAAAAGTTAATAGATTTTTACCGTTCGTTAGATTACAAAATGAAATATCAAATGAAAAGGCATGGCCTTCGAATGTACAAAAACTTTCTTTTTTGAGTAGGGTCGCCACCTATTTAAAAATTATTATCTTCTATACATAGTATAAAGGAAAGTCGAGCTATTTTGACCGCGAAATTTTTTAAGTATTATATGAAGTACTCTAAATTCCTGTAGGGTTACCATCGGTCCAAAAAATTATGAAATCCGCACTGTTCGTTGGATTACAAGAAATGAGGTGTCAAATAAAAGGACTCGGCTTATATTGTTCAATAATGTATTATTTTTTTAGTAGGGTTGCCACCTATTTACAAATTACTATTTTATCCGAACATGGTATGAAGCAAAGTCGAGTGGTTAGCAGTGCACGCTACTATTCCGCATGGCTCTGTTCAACCCAACATCGAAAAATAATAAACAAAAACGTTTTTTTTTCTAAAAGCGGTTTAACAATTTATTTTTGGGTTTTTTGTAGTTGTTTGACTATGGTGCTTAAAAAGTCGCAAATTTGTGTTTAAACTTCTTTTGCAACATATGCAATGACTGAGAGGTGACTTACTACTTATTTACCCAACGAGACCCAAAATTATCTTGGAGTAGTCCTGAAGCGGTACATAAAAACTGATAAAAATGTCTCGGAAGGATCTCGAACACTTTTTGAAACGGTCCTGAAATGTTATTTTACTAGTCCTAAAAGCATCCCGAGCGAGTCCCAAAATATTCCCTAAAAAGTCCTGAGCGGGTCCTGAAATGGCCAACAACTAGTCCCAAAATGGTTCTCAAATAGTTCGGAAATTGTTTTGAACAGGTACCAAAATGATCCCGAACACGTCCCGAAATAGTCTTAAAAAAAAAACCCGGACAAGTCCCGAAATAGTCTTGAAAAGATCCCGAAATAGTCCTACACTATTCCAGAAATTGTCCTGAAATAGCTCTGAGTACACAAAAGAAGCAGTTATAAGTTTTCTGCTGGGTTATGCAAAATTTTACCGATACCGATTGCTGAGATGTTTACACATCAAACATCTAGTTAGGTAAATTTAGCTTCTAAATTTATTGAGTATTCCAGAATTTTGAGTTCTTTTTCACGATTTTTTCACATATCAAAGATTCTTTGTCATACGCCCACAAAACTGTCAACGTCAACACGCCTTAGAACACACCAATATTGCCAAAGTTTTTCAATAGCAAGCTTCTATTTTCTTATGCATGCAAAGATTTGAGAAGCATAACCAAAACTAAGCAACTGTTACCTGCAGTACCTTCCCTGTAGAAAAAAAGTTGCAACTGATTAAAATAACCAACTTCTAGTTAGCCTTTTTTGCGGAATTTCGATAAATAACTAACTTTTAATTAGCTATGACAAAACTAACTTTAAGTTATGAAGACATTATTTGTATTCTTTACAAGTTTCTATTTAAATATTCTCATTCAAAAATTACTTTCAATACACTTTTTTCTGCACTTCGTAGATTCTTTTTCGTATCCAGGAAAAATAATGAGACCACCTACAAAAGAACATGTAAACAAATAAGCAAATATGTAATGTTAAATAAAATAATTAATTATAATTAATAGTTAATTAAAAAAACTATTAAAAATTTGAAAACATTTTTTTTATTAATAGTTTATGTCCAAAAGTAGTTAGCTACAAGTTAATTGACATCTAATGCAGATGAAACCAGTTCTCAAAATTTTGCGACCATCGCCCTTCAAAAATACTTAGTTCCCGCTAAAAGAAAAGAAATAGTTACCACTAGTCGACTGCTATTTAATTAGTTAATAGTGAGCTACAAACTAGCCCCGTTACCTGCAGGGTTACCACACGCCTTGCACTTTCCGAACTTACAATAGCTCTGAGCAAAAGCAATTTCCAGTTGTCGGCGACTACATATCTAAGGTTGCCGCAGCTGTCTGAAGCATTAAAATGTAAAAGCACACACGCATTTACGATGTATGAACATACATATGTACGCCAGCATGTGGACAAGTAAATGTAGTTGCATCTTCACGAAGTTCAAAGCACAATTGCAGCTAACTTGTAAATTACTTTCTGCGGTTACAAGCGACAACAGTGGCACTATATAGCGCATATACGCTCCCAGCTTGGAGCTTAGTTAATGCTTAATGCTAATCTACTTACGCATATCTACGCACTCCTAAGCGCACACACACACACACACTTACATCAATTCTTAAATAGCTCCTTTATTGTCAAATGCAAATGGTTGCCACAGCTGCCATGAATACCAACAGTTCAATTGAATGGCTGTTATCTGCTGCAGACACAACCGCAACGTACATACATAAATCTGAATTACAACTATGTACATATATGCGATATATGTATGTATTGAATTTTACAAGTGAATTGGTTACGCACATCCCTGCAAAAATCGCGACTACTCCATGCACGCATATCAAGAGTACTCCCTGGGGGTCAAATAGTACTTCAAAATTAACCGAAATGTATATGTAGTAAAATGTGGCCCGTTTAACATTGCTATGTCCTAGGGCAGGACCATATACACCAGCTGTGCATTACATCAGAGTAGCAAAAAGTTACATGTAAATATACCTAATACCTATGTACAAACGTATACCCTTATTATTGCCAACACTATAAAAAAAATGTTTGTTTAAGTTTGCGCATTTTAAGATGTGGCGTAGAACAAATTTCAAATTTGTTTTTTGAGTTGTAAACATTTATTGTTCACAATTTCACAGTTTACAAATAAAATGTTTAAAATTTTCTCTAAAAAATGTTTGTGTAAATTTACGCATATAAAGAGAGGTAACCAGTTTCCTCTTCTAGTGTATGCCAAATTAAACACTGCTTATTTACTTTCACATACCAAATTTGTCACGTAGAGAAAAACTACACACACAGTGTTTAAAGTTGAGTAAATATGAGCACTTAGCATTAGCGCACACAAGGGGTGGCTTTTGCTAACTTCGAATTCGTTTCACCAAATTCAGCTACATGATAAAAATAAAAGTACAGTTTAATTTTCGGTATTCGAAGTACTAAAAAAATGAGCAACCAGAAATCGACGAAAATGAACATAAAAGTTTAAAAATTTCATTGGACTATTTAATTTATTTATATTAAAATTTTTTTGTAAAACTTTTTATTACTTTAGAAAGTTGAGTTTATAGAACTTTTTATTAAACAAGTAATTTTTATGCAAAAAGCAAAACCGACTTCAATTCTCAGACACAAATTTAGGAGTACCGTTAATTTTTTCATGATTAAAGGTGCCAACACTCACCGACGTGTACGTATTGGGGGTGAAATAACACAAAAAGCAAAATTTGCTTTATTTCACTTTTAAATGGGAAATAATACCAAAATCTGAGTTTTGCTTTATTTCCAACAAAGGTTGGAAATAAAACAAATTTTGCCTTATTTATTTAGGAGTACCGTTAATTTTTTCATGATTAAAGGTGCCAACACTCACCGACGTGTACGTATGGGGGGTGAAATAACACAAACGGCAATAAAGCAAAATTTGCTTTATTTCACTTTTAAATGGGAACTAATACCAAAATCTGAGTTTTGCTTTATTTCCAACAAAGGTTGGAAATAAAACAAATTTTGCCTTATTTCCCATTGCTTATTTATACTATTTGTCAAAAAAATAAACAGTTTACTGACAGAAGGAAAACGAACTCTGTTTATTCCAAAAATACAATTAAACCAAGGCACATTGAACAGGTAATATCAGTATCAAGGCGAATTTATATAGGGTGGTGTTACTAGCTCAGCTGATTTTGTGTATGTGTTTCGCCGCATGGCTTCTGATATCAAATTGAAAAATTTTGTTTGAATTTCTACACACACTATTACAAATTTTGACAGTTTTTGCCGCCAAATCAAAAACAAAATGTATGTAAATTTTTGTTTTTGTACTCCTGCTATCACCTTATATTAATTCGCCTGATCAGTATAGCAGCTGATTTGATTTTTTTTCAAATTATTTGTTCTCGAAAATCTCAAATATTTTACATTTTTTCTCACAAAAATTCTAAATTGTTAAAATCTATTTGCATGTGAAACATTTTCCATACAAACCAGCGATTAAATAGCAGCTTTTGGAAAGCTCGCCCAACTCAGCAGCACAACCGCTGATTACTGGGCGCGGCACAGGATGGATCAATGCTTCGAGAAGCGAACCAATTTACTAAGAAAGAAAGTTGCAACAATTTTAATTTTTTCAATTTAAATTTTTTACCTTTTTCGTATTTCGCATGGCACGCTTTGATGTAGAAGAAAAAATCAGACTTGACTTGTACATGTCTCGGGTTGCGCAATGATTTTATGTGGTTTAGGGGGCCCTTTAAGTTTGTTTATCGTTATGCAAATAAGCATACAGATTCTCTGTTTTTGTTAAAGCAAGTAATATACTCATTTTTTTATAACTATCGATTTGATACTTTTTCTACTTGGCAACTGATATTGTATGAGTACTTCAAAATGGAATTAGTGGACCGCATAGTTCAAAGTATGTGCATACAGTAGTAGTATATATATTTACATACATATGTATATTAGGGCTGTTGCATGCATCATTACTTACCTTTCGCTTTGAGCGTGCCATCCGTTGATCGCGTGAGTTCTCTGCCTCGCCAGGCGGTCGTTTGCCCCAAACGGCGCAGGCGATGCGTGTGTAGGTGAAGACGAGCACGGTCAAAGGGACGAGGAACTGCAGTGTTAGCAGCGCCAAAGTGTAGTAGTAGTTTTGTTCATTGGACGGCCACTCCTCGCGACAAATGTATCTGAAACACGCATAAAAATGAGAGCGAAGTGAACAATAAAGTGTTTGTAATTAAATTATTCAAACAAAAATGTACTTGTCTTACGACAATGAGCCACCACAGGCGATGGCCTGAAAAAATCAGGTGAAATTATGAAAATATTTGTGCATTTCGCTGATTGAAAAAGTTGTCATTATGATGGAAAAAAAACTCTAATGTCTGAAAGTTTTTAAGTTAATTAATACTATTAGTTGACTATGCATACATAGTAATAACGTTAAGATCGTAATAAGTCTTCCAGAAACCGTAAGAGCACCTCAAACCAAAAATATATAGAGTAGGGGTATTCTTGAAGTCTTGCAAAACCCATGCACGGCGCACGGATTGAATGCTAAAAACCGGTTTTCCTATGAGACTGCTTTGCAAACCGTGAAAATTCGTGCACCGTGCAAGCGCTTTGCAAATCTTATGTATTTTTTAGTTCGCTAGTTACGATTCGGCAACACGGAGCGCAATGGAACTTTAGTGGACTATTTAGATTAAGGAGCTCACTTAAGTCAGTAACGTCGCAACTGGAAAAGTGAATACACAGATTTATTGGAAAATATCCACCTAAATAATACAAATAAAAAATATATATTTTTATTAAATTCTATTCAACAATTTATTGAGCTTGAGGCCGTTTTATATGTACAATTTTGTGGAAAATCAACATACACATAGGTGGAAATTATGGTGGTTCGGAGCAATAAAAGAAAATTAAATTAAAAAAAAAAAGAATTAAATTAAATTGAAATAAAGAAAAGAATAAAAAAGATTTTAATTACTTTGAATAAAAAAAAAACAAATAAAACAATAAAATCTAAAAACAAAATTAGAAAAAAAATCAATAAAAAAGAAAAAATGGTACTTAAAAATTTAATAAAATCAAAAAAATATATATTTAATTTTTAAAACAATATATAAAAATTACAAAAAAATATATATAATAAAGACAAAATTATTTAAGATACTTAAAAAATTTAACGAAATAAAACAAATATATTTTTCGTCTTAAAACAATAAAATATAAAAATTAAAAGTAAGTGAAATTAACAAAAATAAGAACAAATTAAATTTACAGAGAGAAAAAACAAACAAAATAAATTTCTTAAAATTAAATTAAATTATAAAAAATAGTTTTCTGTTTTAAATGAAATCTAAAAATTAAAAGAAAATTAAATTTAAAAAATAACATTTAATTAAAAACCCAAACAAAATAAAACAAGCTGCTAAAACAAGCTCCTAAAAAATGAAATTAGAAAAAAGTATTCTCCTTTTTAGGAGTAGATAACATCTAAATATTGAAAGAAAATTAAATTAGGAAGGAAGAAATATATGAAATATTTTTCTAAAACTTAAATGAAATTATAAAAGAAAAAAAATTTGACTTTAATTTCAAACTCAGATCTATCGAACGCACGCCCGTGCTTTGTTCACACGACCATTGCGGCTGTTGGAGCGATGCGAGCTAAATAACATACAAGTGCTTCTCTCAAAATCAGAGTACGAAAATAAACTGTACAAAACAATTCCAATTCGCTCATCAATCATCATATCATTTGTGGTTTTGTACAGTTTTTTACATAGTCAGAAACAAATTGTAAGATTCACTGTCATTTTCCCCAACGAGAAACGTTTGCTTTTCGTTTGTGACTATTGTACCATAGGGTGAGTTTTATATGTATGCAAACGTTTCAATTACGTGAAAAATATTTTTTTCTGTAAATTTCCATATCCAATTCAATTAAAAAACATTTTTATTTTTTTCTATTCATTGCAGCCATTCGTTTTGTATTTAGTTATTACATATACATATGTACATACATACATATATTTTCCCTGCACGATTCATTTCGTTTGTTGTTTCGTCTGTAACCACTAAACTACTGTAGTGTACTATCGCCAAAGTGAACTCAGCAGTTTTGTTTTCGTTTTGTACCGAACTGTTGAAGTAATAAACGAAACGAAATAGTAATAGTACACTGCTCAAAATAGCTTTTCACCACGACTGGTAAATGAGGGAGCTTTTATTTAAGAATTTTGTGCCAGAATAACAATAGTCTTTCGAACTATATTGGCAACTGTCTTTCATTTGTCTTACGAAGGAGCTTTAACTATTTTAGCCAGAATTGCCTTGTAAGCCATTCATCCATTTAACGCTCAGGCCACAAAACAACTGACGCCATCGGATAATTCAGTGGAAATTGTTCATTGTAACATAGGATTTTCAGGCGCATAATTTCCCGTATAGGGGATGTCATTTGACCACTGAGATCATCCGACTTGGCACCATTGGACTTTTTTATGAGGCAATTCTAAAAGATCAACGGTAATTTTTAGCGATTTAAAACTTGCGCTTTATTCTACTAGAATTCAAGGAAACTTGGATTTACACGGGTTCTGCTAAAGAAAGAACTATATTTTTATTTAAAAAAAATAACCAAAATTAAATTACAAAAAAAAGGATGTGTTAAACCGTGTCAAAATATGATGCGGCTATAATTTTTTCGACCACTCTATGTCAACAAGTGGTCGAAAATATCTTAAAAATACAACGCATGAAGGCAGACCTGAAAGCTTTCGACTCACGCATAGACAGAGTGAAGTCCACCACTGAATGCCGTTGTTTTTTTAACAAGAACATACATATTTACATATAATTCAACTCATATGTATGGTTGCCGGGTACAATGGAAAATTGATGGTAATTGCAAAGCTGACAAACTGACAGGGAAAAGTACGATCGGATGATTTTGGGGAAAACCTCCCTGGGACAGAACGCGGTAGATATAGCGATAGCCACTTTCAAGCAGTTTGTTATAGAACATAGCCAAACAAGCATATTCTGTGCACATTCGAGTTAAAACTCGAGCAGTCGATCCCAATCAAATATTTATGAAAAGAAATCGAATGCTATGACGTCCTGAACTCAGTCGCTCATTGAACGAGTTTGATGCAAAACGGTTTTTGTTAGATGCTCGAATATACATGAAAATGATGTACCCGTTGCAGATGTCTGGTACATACATACATATTTATGAACATACACATATTACTACAATCTAATTTGAGTGCAGAATATCATGAATACTTATGCACTCATAACATTTTAACAGGATGCCAAATGCACTCAGAATTCCTTTGTCATTTGCACGAATTTTTGTAACAGTAGAAGGAAAACGTTAGTCTAAGTTGATGGCAACAAAATAGCATTTTGTGGTTTTGTGTAGTGTAGTAGCTACCAAAGCAATGCATGTGGTATACAAAGAAAGATACTCTATCTACACTCACATTGCTTCTCTTTTCAAATAAAAGAGTTAGCCGCATTATTCTACACAGCTACATACGCACCAGCGCAGCCTTTACTATTTGTTGTCATGAAACATTTTGTTTAGAAAAATTAAATTTCCTATCTCATTCCACAATGTTGCATTTATGTGATGGTCAGCTGTTTCGTCTCCAGCTTGTATCCATCATTTTTATTACTTTCGGCTTCCTTTTTAAGTATTCTCTTCTAACAACATGCTTTATCTTTATCTTAACTCTTTTACTAGATTTTCTGGCGGCCTCTTGCTACCTGACTGTTTGACAAATGATAACACTTGAGTTACGGTGATTTACTCAATGTAATTAAAATCGTAAATGTGGTTTTTCGCTAGGTTATTTAGTATTTATTTTCTGCTGCCGCATTATTTCTTGTTTGCTTTTGCTTTATTCTGCAACTGTGTATGGGACTACTGTAATGAAAATGATTTCGCGTTATACTGAGGACTAATTGTTGTCCCAGAGGTGCAGTTTTCATAAAATGAAAATAAGTAGGTATTTATGGCGATATGGCTATTTTAAACTTTACATCAATTACCTAATTAAAAGCAGCTGGTAATTACGCTATAGGTAAACCATGCATTACTCAAGAAGGTTCTGCAATTGACTTCCGAGTGAATTTCAACCCAAATCATTTTGAACTCAGATTGAAAGGGGTTGAAGTTCACTTGGAAGTGATTTGGAAATCCTGCCTGATTGTTTCAAATCCCATATATAGGTGTAACTCTCCGGATGGTATGATAATTTGGGCCTCAATACATATGTACATATGCATGTTACCGTTCAAAAGAGAATGTATAAACCGAAATACGGTTAACTCATTCTTGAAGGGGTTGTGAAGGGACTGTGAATGAGTGTCCTTTGATAATTTGGTCACAAATCGGTCTGCTGGCTGGAAAGACGAAGCTCTTATTATTTTCGAGGATATGTAAAGTGCCTCACACCCAGGTTCACTTGTGCTCTCTGATGTGGTCAAGTTCTTGGCCATGATCCTGGAGAATAAGAAATATTGAGGAGCGAGTAACTAAGGCATCAGTGGTTCTTTACTGATATAAAAACCCCATGAGGAAGATATGAATCTTTGTCTGGTGGAATCTACTACATAGAAGAGTCGTGCACTTGTTAGTAAGATAGAGCGCATGCAAAGGGCAGCCATCGTTGTAATCGGGCGAGCGCTTCGGAACATACCTAATCTTGCGCTTAACACTAAGCTCAGTATCGCACTTGCAGATGTTACGGGCAATGTTGCCGCAGTTTGTTTCGCCATTAGGCTAAACCGTTCTGGCTTCTCATTTAACCCGTCGTCAGAGTACTCTACGATTCTTCAAAGTTTCAATTTAAGTATTACCGGAAGAAATGTATTGAAGCGTTGCAAGGCTGGCCCGAACAGATCCTTCTCTGCGCGCATCGCTACATGACGCGAATGGAAGAATGGCAGCCTCTGGAGAGAGGTCCAACTATAATCTTCACGGATATATCGCAGTTGTATGGCTGAGTTGAGTATTATTAGAAATTATGGAGTTGCCGATTTTTAATAATTTATAAAAATTAGTTGGTAGTTATAGAAAATTTTACTTTATGGAATCGAAGTTTTTGGAATTTTTCATAATATAATATATTATACATATGTATATATGTACAGGAATTTATCGAGTTATCACAATTTATCGATTTCGATCCATATACGTTCGAATATTCGCGTATACGGATAAAATCCAGATATCCGGTTAATAAAAGTTCAAGGCAGACGCCACAAATCGGAGAAGAAGTTCGGCCAAAGACTAGCATATGTGTAAGCGCCAATCTATTATTATTATTATTATTCACATACATTAAATACTTTGGGAAAAATATATCTATGTATACAGTTTTAGGGTTTGCGGAACAGTATAATACTGCGACACACAGCAAACAGAGGCCGCACCGCAGTCGACGTCGCCCAGGCCTACCTGTGACTAATGCTCGTTTACGAAAAGTTTCTCATACGCCCAGGCTAACTAAGGATACATACATATTTCTTCTATGTTCTAACAATGAAAAACGAATTAGGTATACTATATAAACAGTTTCAAATCTGTATTTGATATCTATACATATTTGTACAAACATACATATGAGTATAAATGGAATTTGTCTGTTAAATAATTGAATATTTAAAACTAAGTATCCTTCCGCCAGTCGTTGAAATAAGGGTTTGAAATAACGAGAGATATAACCTCATTACTCAGTTTAAGGCTATCAAAAATTTCATGGAGCAGAATTCCGACTTTTCCTTGCATTTTTTCCATGTAAAAATGGAGCATTGCAACTTTATAACTGATAGCATAGGTTCACACTAAATCAGCTGACGCTAATTGGAAGTGAGGTCTTCTCCATCTCGTACCATCTGTGGTATGTCTGTTGAACGTGAACACTTGTGTAGCCTAAAATGATAATCATTTAAATTTTTACCGTGGTCATCATCAAAATAATAGAGTTTCATCCAAGTCTTCATTTTACTTTCATTGGAACCTTGTTTTGAATTTCAAGTTTATAGTATTTTGCATATTTCTTTTGAGACCTTTAAAATTGACTACAGCTAAAAAAGTTTGCAAAAGTCTTGTAAAAGTTTAGTGTAGCAGTAAACTCGCGTCTTTTTTTTTTTGCAGCTTATTATAGCAGCAGTTTAACTCTCTAGTCGAGGCGTTGTCATGTTGCAAATCCGTTGCATGTCGCATCTCCGCTGAATGCGCACTTAATCAAGCCATCATTTAGGCCGTGTTACACTTGAAAAGCGGTGGCGCTGACGTTAATATATATGTATTCGAGTAGCACTCAACAGATACAATGACTGCGCGACAGGAACTTGCAATCATAAACGAGACCGCAATGCTACGTAAAATGAAACTGAGAATTTCGCTGCTAAGTGGCTGAGTGAGCGTACTAGTTTGCAACCATTTATGTAAATGCATTCTAAGTCCATCACATAGTGTATTTTCCATATTTCACTGCTATGTCTTACACCACAGCAGTTTGTGTGGGCTTGAGCAAAACCAACAAACAAATCGAGTATCTACATATGTACATATATACCGCACTACTTTTATGAGCAGACTTTGTGCTCATATTTCAACTTGTTTTTTAATCTTTTACTTGCACATTTTTTTCCCTCACCGCTTGGTTGCTTTGCTTGGTTACCATCTCAGAATCGTACTTTGTCGCGAGCCAACATAATTGAAAATGTCATATTTTGCAAATCTCTGCAACCAACCAGTATTCAGTGAATACTATTCACGGCAACCATAGACTGTGTTGACAGCTTGAGTACTTAGAAATGTGCGCTATAGAATGCTTCCTTGTATTTGCAGTTCCCCACAAATATGTCAACTTGATACAGGCAGTCAAAAGAAAATAAATGGGTCAAAGCGTTTTGAAAAATGTTACAAGGCAAACCCCATTCCAGCAGCATAGCTCATAAAATGCTCCAGTGAATACATACCCCCATACATACATACATAAGCTTTTGTCTAAATACGCTTGTGTAAAGCAAAGTTGCCAACTTTGTCGTGTATAAATTTTCATATATTTAATTTGAAAAATTATCTCTCGGAGGCATTCGACCTCTCCTGTGTTTAAATATGCATATTTTCCGAGGAACGTTTATACATAAATATACATACATATCCTGCTGATAAAAGTGTAAAATATAAATGATTTTCACTCACCGCTGACACTCGACAAACCAGCGCTCCGGCTGTGTCAACTTGGATACGATGAGTATGGGCACCGCCGTGGCCAAGGCAATGAACCAAACTCCAGCTATGATGAACTTTGCAAGCCTATGGGAGAGGGAAATAATGCGTAAAATGAATAAAAAGCTTTCATGTTATGGATATTTCAAACACTTAATCTACTGCAAACCAAAAAAAAAAAGATTTTGTCTCGAGTGAAAGAATACATTCAGCTAAAATATGCATTGCAGCTTGATATGAATTGGCTTTATGTGTTATTGTGTTATTGTGTTATTATGAATATAAATTAAGTACATTTGTGAAGTCGTTTTAGTCAGTAATGTTTTCGCGTCCATTTTAAATACATATTTATGTGCGTCGTGATGTACCGCAGTAAATCATATACATATTTGTGTAAGTGTTTACACATTAGTTTTATGTTTGTTTAGAGAAATAACAAAAAAAAAACAGGGTTTCTGCTAAAGAAATTTTGCTTTAACGCAGTGCCTTTTTTATAGTAGGTATGTCGAATTTCACCAGGTCGAATACTAAACTTTTTTATGCAGTTCAGTGGATGGTAGAAATGGCGACATATAAAAAAGGAGATTGGTCAAGGTTTTCTCTAGCTAAGTTAGGGCTTCAACCAAATATAAAGTATTTTCCTGTATCTAAGACCAGCAGCAAATCTGAAACGCAGCAGCACCATATGCAACAAAAAAACTATCCTGCTGGCGTATGCGGATGATATTGATATTTTCTGCATGAAACCCTGAGACGGCATCGCTGCATTTTTCAGCTTATAAAACGAAGCTACAGGCGCACGTCTACCAGTGGACGAGGACAAGGCAAAGTACCCTGTGGCAACACATGAGAAGTCGTGGCATATTGCGGCACACCTCACTTTTGGCAGTTATAACTTTGAAGTAGTGGAAGACTTTGTCTACCTAGGATCTTAAACGGAGGTGGGCAGCTTCGGCAGAGCATTTTTTTTAGTGTGCGTGCAATTAATGAATTTTAACTGCTTTAACGCGAATTCATCGTTCTAGTACTGAACTTTTTCTTCCATTTGGTTGCTGTTTTTTTTCACTCTCTGTGAGAGAAATGCAACAGCAACCACATATGAAGAAGTTCTGAACTAAAACGATAAATCCGCCTTTAAGAAATAAAATATTTTATATAATGGCGGAAAGCTCAAAAATTCGCGTATCGTGTTCAGCAGGATTTTTAACAAAAGTAAGTAATGGTAAGTCTTCGTATTTATATTACGCAAATTAATCGTATAACAAAAAAACTTGAAACGTCTGTAAAATTAAATTGAAAATATGATTTCACTCTTATCCTCACCGTCTTATTGTTAATAAAAGATATTTATTTCCACTAAAATGAAAATTAAGACGAGAGTTAATTCCTTGGACTATTCTCATTGTTTACCCGAACCCTAAAAATAATCGAATCCGGTGCAAATTTTGAGCGGCTGCAAAATCGCGTTTATTTTCAACAGACTTCAAAAAAGGACAAGGTTGTCAATTCGTTGGAATATATATTTGTATTATGTATGTTACCGGATAACCTTGAACCATGTCAATGGATTTAGATCTTCTGTCGGATTTTGATTTTCTATCGGAAAGGAAGTATCTCAGAGATGGCTCCATAGCAATTTGGTTTAGATCCGATTATTGGATTATGAATAACTTAACTATACTCGTATATGGTTTTCGTTTCTACAAAAAAGTTTGCCTTTTCATTTATTAACATTTATTGGTATAAACGAAACCGCCATTAAATTTTTATATGAGAATTGAAATTAACTTTTTTTGCTTGAAAATTACTTTTTTTTTTTTTTTGCTGACGGCTTTTGCGTTTTTTTTTTTATATAAAGCATAATATTCTGTTCCTGTTTCACGTGAAAAAGCTGTCAAATTGCATATAAAATTTCTTTCTGCGAAATAAGTGTGCAATTCCACAATATTTCCTCAGCAAAGTAGTATTCTGTTCTCGCTGTGCAAAAGCTTGCAGCGTGTTGGCAACATGAATGAATCCAGCAAAACAATTTTCCTGGTATTTTTGAATACGCGTGTACATTTAAATTGACAGTTTATCGTATTTAGTAACGGCGAAAACAAAGCGGGGTTAAGTCGCTAAACCTTATCCAAACCGATCGTAAAATTTTATTTCACGAATGCCTAATTCTTATTAGTTTGACTAGCTGCCCGCATGCGACGCAATTTCAGCTTATGTCTTTGGGTCTTGGCAAGAATATAATCCCTCAAGGTTTAGCTTAAAATGGTTCCAGGTATGCATCCTGTGATAATGTAGCTTTCCAGAAGGTGTCACGCCAGTTTTTTCTGTGCATATTTCCATTCGAAGAATACCTCATCTCAGTATTAAAGGTAAATGTGTCATCAGAATTTGAGATTATACGGGTTACCCCCTGGCTGTTTTCAACGGCTACGGGAACGTTTTCATATACCACCATTTTTCATAGTTTTGGGATTGAGTTCATTTATCTCTGAATTCGACGAAGGCCTCTTTTCCGTTTAAAATACCAGGTGGAGAAGGACTTGACTACACTTGGCATTTCCAATTGGCGTCAGTTGGTACAAAAGAGAAACTACTGGCGAACTGTTTTAGACTCAGCCAAAATCGCTTAGGCGGTCACAGCGCCAATAAAGAAGAGGAAAAAGAAGAATATTTGAGTTGATAATCAGAAGACGAGTGCATATAATATATATGTACGTACATATGTACTAATGTGTGTAAAAGGAAAATAATTGTTAAATATTTATATGTATGTAGTTAAGAAAAATACATACATGTATAAGTAGAAAGAGCCCAGTGACCCCTCAATGCTGCATATTCTGTCTATGTACTTAAATTGGCTCAACAACGGACTCGTTGAAAGTTTCATGAAAGCATTTATCCAAGCTTAAGCAAATACATACATAGTACGTTCATACTGGACGTACATAAATATGTGTGCATGCTTTATGAATAAACTATGAAGCCAAAGCATATCTAGACGTATGCTCAGCCAGTTTGCGCCATACATACATCATATCTATGCCATTGTTTGTCAATAAAAGCCAGCAGTGCTTTGGTTTTCATCATAAAAATTAAGTATGTATTAGCATAATGCCAACTAGTTATTATTACGTATGTATAAGGGCTATGTTTGGCTACGCTAAAGTGAAGGGCTGCCCTGCGCGAGCGTGCAGAAGAAATATGATGGCACATAAGTTGAGCTGCTTGTGGCACTCGCGGTATTTAATATTAAATTATGCTGTTGACAAAAAGTACTAAATAAAATGCTTCGCAGTACTGTTAGGGGCAGGCTAGTAGTATGTAGTATTTAGTATGAGTAGCATAAACTTCGGCTCAACACACAATGCCATTACGTATACGCTGTGTGGTCTCCCTTAATTGCAAGAAATTTATTAATTTCGTTCCTCAATTTATTGCATGTGATTTAGGAAAATATATGGTTGCTGATTTAATGGAAAAATTAAAGCTAGAACTGCTGTCGGTGTTTCTTTCTTCTACACTACATTACACTCGATTAAATTGAGTCAACTAAAAAGTTAAGGTTTTACTTAAGCGAACGGAATAAATGGCAATTCAACCCATATATTCACGTAAAATACGACTTACGTTTCGGTATGGATACCTTGCGTAAATGTTATAGCTGTGATTTTTAGAGCTTCACACAAACGCTTATTGCACGAGGAGCGGTGAAGCATTTGGAAAGAAAAATGCATCGTTTAAAAGAAAAAATACCAGGTTTATCGAAATGTCAATTTTCATAAGTCATAAGTTTGTGTTCTGGCGTATAAACAACGCTAAATATTGGTTTGTTCCGGCGTCCATTTTAAGCCTATAAAGTGCTCTTGCAAATCAAGTTTAGCAGAGATATCAGTTCTTATGTATAATAGCAATATTGTTTTGAAAAATTTTAATTTTGATATAAATTTACCAAAATTTTAGCATTTTAAGGCAAAAATTTTTTTGAAAAAAATGTGTTACTTTTTTGTTAGCAACTTGCTCGAACCCCGCTCGAGTGATTTTGTATTCATTTTCTTTAATCAAAAAATCAAATTATTTCCTTTCGTTTGGTAAATGAGAAATTTTGATTAATATCTTATTTGGTCAAAATATAGGGCATTAATTGATTTTTCACAAAAAAATCTTTCGTCAGCATTTTACAAACGCATACATGAGCAAGAACAGTAAGGCTGCTGGAACTGACAGAAGGAAACAAAAAGTGTGTGTGTGTATTTTGTGTATTTCGGATATTGAAATCCAGATGGCGCAGGTCAAGGGAATTATTTATAAGCTTATCACAGCATATGTAAGTAAATACACAAGTTAATTGCGGTTAATGGCAAAAATAGTTCCGAAATAAAAAGTGGATGAAATGCGGATTCTCCCCGGTTTACCGATTCCATTTTTGGATACTGGACTATAACTTTTCCCACTAAAGTTTACAGAAAAGTATCGGAAGCTAAAAAATAGTGGCACGCTCCCCTGCAAACTCATCTACTGCCGAATACGTATATATAAATAAAATGGTCGAAAAAATTATAGCCGCACCATATTTTGAATAGTTTTTTTTTGAAGATTTTTTTATAAAAATATAGTTCATTCGGAAAGAATAATTCTTTAATAAAGCCTGTGTAAATCCAAGTTTCAAACTGTGTGCAATATTAAAAAATAAAATAAATTTAACAAACTTCCGTAAAAATTTCAATCTTTTTTAATTATATTTCCTAGAAAGTTTCTGAGTATGCGGGTTTGTAGCTAGTAGAATAAAGTATAAGTTTCAAGTTTACCGATGATGATGATGTGCCACTGTTCAGTAGTAAGGGTTGCCTACTTCTGTTACAAATGGTAAAACTACGCTCCTTTCGGATTGGTAATAATTGAGCATATGTCGATATGCCACAGAAAAATATGGTTATTTATAAACATAATCGGCTATATAACTCAAAAAACATAAAATTCTGAGTTGTGGCGATATTGCAGAGAAAAATTAAATTATTACTTTCAAAAAACCTTTATCTTTTTCTAGCGTTCTTCGGTTACGAAAGAATGAACGAAATGGCATAAAAACA